TTTTTCAAAAATTCAAGCATGGGGGAAAAACGGGCCCCTACGCTTTGTTCCTCAGTGATTACCTTCTGGTAGATTTTTCCCCAAGGGGTAAAAAATTCCCCCCCAATGGAAAAGGGAATTTAGCAAGGCATCCTAATTTGGGGGAAAAACGTTTTCCCCAAGGAAGCGTGCTGGGTCCCTGTTATGGAATGTCTACTTCAACACCTTCCTTTTTTCATCCCCCGAATCACATGCCCTATGCAGGGCGAATGAAAACTGACATTTACTTATCCAAAAAAGAAGAAATGCCAGCTGCTCTAAGCTACATCAACACCAGCTGAGAGCTATATAGCTTTGGGGAAAAAAGTGGAAATAACTTTTGGGATGAGAAAATCAAAAAAATGATCGTCTCTAGGCACCCCTGATGGTAATGCTGGGTTTCAGTAGTAAGGGTGAAAGGGAAAAGATGTTGGCACCTGGAAAAAGAAATTTTATATCCCTTGGGGTAATTTTTACTCCAAAATAACCCTGAAAAAACCATGGTTTTAAATCTTTCAAACAAGGCACCAGGAAGCTTTCCGCACTTTGGGGTATTCCCCATTTTGCTTGACATTTGGGGTTGGGAAGAAACCCCGTACGAGGCAAAAGAAAAACCCCACCAAACCCTTTAGTATGCTCCACTTTCTTGGGTTTTCCTGCCCCCCCTTCATCTGCGGGCTTTCTTGACAAAAGGAGAGAACAGGGCAAGACGTCCATCTCTCGCCTGGACCCATCCGGATAATCTATCATTTCAAACGAGCCTTTAACATAGGAAAGGGGTGTGGGTGGCCTTACTGTTTTTGGGAACAAGGCCCCAAAATTTTTCAAAAACCCACACTTGGGTCCAAATTCGAGGACAACGTGAAACAAATTTTATGCCACAAGACGGGCGAAAGCAGCAACTTTACTCTGGCTTACCCTTTCCCCCAGAAAAATCAAATCCATCTAGATCATACATTCCCAGGGTGATCGAGTATGGAAAAACATTCGTACAGCATAATGATGGGCAACGAGATAAAGCAGTTGATCAAATGAAAAGCTGGCCCCCCGATGGGGTCCAACTTCATCCCGTCCCCCTATTGTATGCTCTAACAATAAAAATGGCTTTTAAATGAGGGTATGTAGGTAATAGCTCCCTTTGTTGCCAATAAAGTTAGGAAACCTTAACCCGTAATATACTGTCAATAAAGTTTGGGATCCTTAACCTTCAAACCCGTGTAAAAAAAAAAAAAAAAAAAAAAAAAAAGAAGAGAGAGAGAAGAGAGAGAAGAAGAGGAAGGGAGAAGAGAGAGGGGGAGAAAAGGGAGAGAAGAGGGGAGGAAAAAGAGAAAAGAGAGAAAGGAGGAGGAGGGGAGAGAGGAAGAGAAGGGAGAGAAGAGAGAGAGAAAAGAGGAAAGGGGAGAGAGAAGAAAAAGAGGGGGAAGAGAGAGAGAAGGGGAGGGGAGAAGAGAGAGGAAAGAGGAGAGAGAAGAGAGAGAGAAGGGAAAAGAGGAGGGGAAGGGGGGAGGAGAGAGAGAAGAGAGGAGGGGAAAGAGGGGGGAGAGAGAAGGAGAGAAAAGGGGAGGAAAAAAGGGGAAGAGAGAAAAAAGGGGGGAGAGAAGAAAAAAGAGGAGGAGAGGGGGGAAAGAGAGGAAAAGGAAAAAGAAGGAGAGGAGAGGGGAAGGGGGAAAAGAGGAGGGGAAAGAGGGGAAAGGGGACCGGGGGGGGGGGGGGGGGGGGGGGGGGGGGGGGGGGGGGGGTTTGGGGTGGGGGGGGGGGGGGGGGGGGGTGGGGGGGGGGGGGGGGGGGGGGTTGGGGGGGGGGGGTGGGGGAAAAAGGGGGGCCCGTTCTCTGTCCCCCTTTTCCCCCCCTTTTGGGGCCGCCCTTTCCCAATTTATTTCTTTCCTCTTTCCCATTCCTTTCCCCGGTTTTTCCTTTTCCCTTTTCCCGTTTTTTTTTCCGCTTTCCTTTTTTTTCCGTCGGCCCCTTTCCCGTCCTCTTTTTCCCCCCTTTCCTCCTCCCTCTTAAAATTTTTTTCTCTTAATTCCCTTTTTCCTGTTTCCCCCCCTTTCCCCCCTTTTTCCCCCCCCCCTTTTTTTTTTTTTTTTCCCCCCCCCCCCCCCAATTTTTTTGAAAAGGGGCCCCCGTGGCCCCCCAAGAATTTGAATTGTAAAAAAAACATTTGAAAAAAATAAATTTGGGAAAGAAAAAGGCTCCTTGGGAAATAAAAAATCCCCGGGGCCCAAAAAAAAGGAAAAAAAAAATTGTTGGCCCAAAAATTGGGTTTTTCCTTCTTTATTTTCGGGGTCAAACGGGGTTTGCCCCTGTTTTTTCCAAAGGGGTGTTTTAAGGGTTTAAATTTTTCCTTCCCCCTCCCATCCCCTCTGACTCCATATGTTTGGCGTTGCAGATTTGGGACAAAAGGGCCTCAAGAATTTCCATGTACATATCATGTCCTTTTTCTCCTCCACTCCCGCAAATACATATTTAGAACTTTGAGGTTTTCAGGGAATTTTAAGGGCTTTTTTGGCTCTATTTGGGCGTAAAAAGACTTGTCCTGTTTTTCCCGCTCTGAATTTTCTCCCCTGCTCTAAATATTTATCAACACCAAAAAATATTCAAAGTGGGGTGGCACAAGCAAATTTGGGAAAATGTCAAAACCCTCCCTACTATTTCTCATGCATTGTAATTTCATTATCCACCCTTTTTCATCTTGACCGTCTACATTTGCCTTATTGTATTGTTTGAAAAAAAAGGTTTAGCCAACATAATTACTCCCAGGTCTTTCAAATGTTTTCCCTTTTAAAAATATTTGTGATCCTTTTTGGTTTTATTTCAGTTTTCCCTTTGAGTTCTTTTTATATTTTAGCAGAAGGAACTTTAAAAACACCTGAAAATCATGATGTTCTCCACTGCGCACTGGGGAAAAAACCCTTTTATGCTGTCCTGTTTAAATTTTTTATTTTCCCCTCTAGCAAGGGATTTCATGCTTATTTGGGTGCCCTCTAAAAAAATTTCAAAACAAAGCTTTGATGGATGTTTCCGTCTGCTTTTGAAATAAGAAAAAAATAGAGGTAAACCCTACATGTCTTGGGGGACTGAACTTTTTCCCCCAAATAATGCTGATTTTTTTCTGTTTAATATTTTTATTTGTATTCTAAACTGTAAAAAAGTTAAAAAAAACCATCTGCATGATATGTGTTTCAGAAAAATTAGGGCTAAATTTATTGAAAAGGAAATATTTTTTGCTTTGGGAAAAAATAAATATGAAATGTCCAAAGATAATAAGGCATCAGATTTTTAGATACACATACATAATTTTTTTTTTTAACAAGTCGGCCGTCTCCCACCAAGGCAGGGTGACCCACAAAGAGAGAAAATACCTAAAAAGAAAATACTTTCATTATCAATCAACACTTTTACCTCTCTCACACATAATCACTGTTTTTTTCTGAGCACCTCTGCAAAAACAGTGATTATGTGTGAGAGGTGAAAGTGTTGAATGATGATGAAAGTATTTTCTTTTTGGGGATTTTCTTTGTTTTTGGGTCACTCTGCCTCGGTGGGAGACAGCCGACTTGTTTAATTTTTTTTTTTAACAAGTCAGCTGTTTCCCACCGAGGCAGGGTGACCCAAAAAGAAAGAAAATCCCCAAAAAGAAAATACTTTCATCATCATCCAATACTTTCACCTCACTCACACATAATCACTGTTTTTGCAGAGGTACTCCGAATACAACAGTTAGAAGTCTATACAGTGGACCCCCGGTTAACGATATTTTTTCACTCCAGAAGTATGTTCAGGTGCCAGTACTGACCGAATTTGTTCCCATAAGGAATATTGTGAAGTACATTAGTCCATTTCAGACCCCCAAACATACACATACAAACGCACTTACATAATTACACTTACATAACTGGTTGCATTCGGAGGTAATCGTTATGCGGGGGTCCACTGTACATATAAAGATACACAACATATCCCTCCAAACTGCCAATATCCCAAACCCCTCCTTTAAAGTGCAGGCATTGTACTTCCCATTTCCAGGACTCAAGTCCGGCTATATAAAATAACTGGTTTCCCTGAATCCCTTCATTAAGTATTACCCTGCTCACACTCCAACAGCTCGTCAGGTCCTAAATACCATTCGTCTCCATTTACTCCTATCTAACATGTTCACGCACGCTTGCTGGAAGTCCAAGCCCCTCGTCCACAAAACCTCCTTTACCCACTCCCTCCAACCTTTTCGAGGACGACCCCTACCCCACCTTCCTTCCCCTACAGATTTATACGATCCATTCTCTCTAAATGACCAAACCATCTCAACAACCCCTCTTCAGCCCTCTGACTAATACTTATATTAACTCCACACCTCCTAATTTCCACACTCCAAATTTTCTGCATATTTACACCACACATTGTCCTTAGACAGGACAAAAATATATATAATTAAGAAAGACATGATTATTACCTCAGCAAAATGGAACCACAGACAATTTATCTAATAAACTGTATATAACACCAAATAATAATGCTCTGTCTAGAGAAAGTGAAGAAGAATTCTTCCTCCGTAAGCCATGCATGTAGAAAGAGGCAACTAAAATGCCAGGAGCAAGGGATTAGTAACCCCTTCTCCTGTATAAATTACTAAATTTAAAAAGGAAAATTTTCATTTTTTCTTTTAAGGTCACCCTGCCTTGGTGGGATATGGCCAGTGTGTTGAAAGAAAGATATATTAACGGGATCCAAACTTTATACAGATGATTTATAAACAAAACCTAAAACTTTAGCCCTTGTTTGGAAAGAATATGAAGAGCTAACACAAGCCCTATTTCTTGATAAACTGATAAAGTTAAGTGCTTCCTCCATTCTATTCATTTTACAAGAACTCAAAAATGTCCTAAGTAACTGTAAAATATAAAAATGGAGATATTAAAATTTGTTAGTATCTAAATTTAGTAAGCACAAGCAAACATCCTAAAATAGCCTTTATCTTTGCATACCATTGTCCCCAGTGAAGTATACGATCTGGTGAATGTATTTGGTGTGGTTTGTCTTGATCCAGCAATACTGTTACGAAGAGGATCCACTGTCTGTCTTCTCATCAGTGGAGGACTTTGGCTTGCTTTTCCTTCACCAACTCTTCGGAAAGTTAACTTTCCACCAGCACCCTGATGACATCAAAAGTAATATTACAAAGATAAAAGTCACAGAAAGAAAACCTTAGCTTCATAAATGACCAAAAATGAATTAAAGAACTGGTAATATGAAGTGACTGGCTTTAATCAACAATTTCTTCCAACTGTTACAAAACCAAAATCTAAAACCTCTTTTAAACTCACCTTCCATGATACAATAAACAGTACATCATTAGTTCACAATTGAATTTTAAATAGGAAAAACTCCAAAAGTAATGTCAGAATTTTTAACAAAATAACTGTGACAAAGTTCTGAGAGGGGAAAATGTAAAATATGATATAAAAACAATAATAAAAGTAAAATTTACTAAGTAGCAAAAACAAAAAAGGCTTGTCATTCATAAAACCCTTTTACATACCAAAAGTAACTGGTGTCCCCATTTTTTGGGGCCCAAAAAATATAGAAAACAATAAGTTTTTATTATAAAATTTTTAAACCCCAAAAATGTGAATTTTTGAATTTTCTGACAAAATTGAAAAAATTATGAAATTTGTAAATTTTGTTGTCAGCAATATTTACACATGGCAATTTTTGCTCCTTCATGTCCTATTACCCTTGTTATTTTTTACTATTATTCTTTTGGTATTTAATTGTAAATTTATATTTTGTCAATTTAAATTAGTTATAACCCTGATCTTGTCAACAACCAAACCCAGACTCTAGTGAAATTTTGAAGTACCTTTTAAAAATTTGATTTTTATAAGTTTATATTATTTTTCTACCAAAAGATTGTTTTCATATCTTAGTGACAAATTTTGTGTGTGCAATTAGGTATATTTAAATTATATTATTGTTCAAGGCCCTTAACTACTTTTGTAACTAGTCCCAACTACCTCATATATATTTTTTTTTCTACTTTTTTTATTCTTTTTCTACCTTAACTTGTAATTTTACTTTTCAATTTAAATTAGTTTTTACTCTAATTCTTGAAAACAACTTTTAACACCTTAGTGCAATTACAATTGAGAGTCTTTTGCCTTTTTTATTTATTAGATTAAACTCAGTTTTTATTTAGTCAATACCCAAAATTCATTTATTAGACCAAATTTTTAATTATAGTGAGAACTGGGGCTATTTTTAAATTTGTATTGTTATATTATTAATTAAATCTATTGTACTATAGCTCATTTAGCTAAAACTAGACTCCACAAAAGTCATTATATTAGACCTTAGTGCAATTATTTGATTACCACTTTATTGTTCACACAACTTATTAGTCCCTTTTATATTAATAATTTTATATTATAATTCTAACTTTAAAGAATTACCTTTAAAGTACTACCATATTCCCAAGCTCCATTATTTGATCATCACTTTATTTGTTCACCACAAATTATTTTATTCCCTTTTATATTGTCTCCTTTATTTTAGCTTTAAAAAACTACCTTAGCTCATCATTTTTACATTTGTTAAATAATTCAGGTGCTATTTTTTTAGCTTTAGAATATTTACTTTGTTTTATACTTAATTCTAACTATAGATTCACTACAAATCTTATGATTACAAGCATTGATCCTGATACCAACCTCTTATTTAATGACTTAAATGATTCAAACAGTTACTGTAATTACTACACAGCAGAACAATCAAAGGCACTTCTCAGAGCCAACAACAACATAACTATCTTTAACTACAATATCAGATCTTTAAGCAAGCATTACGATGACCTCCTAGCATTACTAAATTCCTTGCATGCCAATATGTCCATCATTACACTAACTGAAACCTGGCTAAAGCCTGATACTACAGATGTCTATGCCATTCCTGGTTACACAGCCATACACAACTGTAGGCCAGACAAACAAGGGGGTGGCACAGTTATATACTACTCAGACCAACTAGAATGTATCACTAATACTTGCACAAGGGATGAACATGGGGAATATATAATAGCTAAATTCAAATCCAAATACCTACAAAAACCTCTCACAGTGATAAACATCTACAGAGTTCCACAATCAAACATTAGCCAATTTAGTCAAAACCTAGGAAGTATGATAACTGATGCATGCATGAACAAAGATCACTTACTACTCTCAGGTGACTTCAATATAAATCTCCTGCAAGACCAGGACCCACATGTTACTGAATTCACAAACACAATGAGTAACTGCATGTTGCTACCAACAGTAACAAAACCTACAAGAGTTACAGAGACTAGTGTTTCCCTACTTGACCACATCTGGACCAACACCATATCCCCTTTAAAATCACCACTTTAGTGGTGATCCTCCTACCTTATACCACTTGTACAGTCAAAGATAAAAACCCAAACAGCTGGAATTGGGTACAGCTTCAAACAGGCATGCAATTAACCCTTTCAGGGTCAGTAGGCCTTATCCTAAACTTGTTCTCTGGGTCGGAAATTTTTTTTGGAAAAAAAAAAAAATCTCATGAAATGATAGAGAATCTTTTCCCGATCATAATGACACCAAAAGTATGAAATTTGATGGAAAACTTACGAAATTGTGCTCTCGCGAAGTTAGCGGTCGCGACGATGTTTACGCAGCGGCGATTTCACCCACTTTGAGTCCTAGTTTCAGCCAATTCCAATGAACCAGTCAACAAAAATCATAACTATTTTGCTAGAACTCCATTTTTTCTATTGAATGAGTACAAGAAACCACCCATTTACCAATTTCAACTATCCAATACAGTGGTCAGAATTTAGCAATTTTGCCAATTTCACACAAATTTCAAAAGATGCCAATTTCCAAATAGGGTCCAGAATAAACAAGACAGACATTCCTGGCACTAAAATAACATTTCCTCTGTTCACTAGTCATGTCCCCAGGGCTCTGTTAAATTTCTTTTGTTTTCCACTTTGCATTTATATTCTCACAAAAAATAGAAGATTTACTGTTATGCAGACTACTGCATTAGTGTAGAAATGGTGTAGAAATGGCATAAATATTATCAGCACACTTGTGAAAAAATATCAGACTCACCAGTTGACGTGTATTGGACGCATAGCATGTTTTGTTTACTTTTGAACTTTGGCAAAAATCGAACATTTCTGCTACTTTGAGCTCAATTTCAAGGTATTTTACATTGTGAAACCAATCAAAATCATCTCAATTTCCGTAATATGTCTTCCATTCTATAAAACGAGACCAGGAAAACTAGAATACAACCATGAATAGCACATGAAAATACACTGCAAAATCACTGTTTTAACCCCTTGACTGTCTCTTGGTGTTTCAAAAATTTAAAAAAAAAAAAA